CCCAGTGCCCCAGACTGAGCTCAGCTGGGAGGGGAGGGGGGGAAAAGCAGCCCCGAGCCACATCCCAGGGCAAGGGAAGCAGCTCCCTTCGGGCCAGCTCAGGGAACAACCTACCTGGTCACTCAGGTCCCGCGAGACGTAGAGCAGAACGTCTCGGGCGACGTCGGCAAAGAATCGATCGCCGGAGATCTGCAGGATCGAGGTTACAAGGGGACATGGGGGAGGCGAGAGACACGGCAAGGTACGTGATTCTGATTTGAAGAGCTGGCAAAGGCAGGGGGAAACACATTTGAACAGCCAGGGATTTTAAACATGGGATGGATTCAGAGTAAGATCTCTGACAGAAATCTACGGGCACTGGAGAGCAACCCGGAGGTCAGAGGCAGCAGCCAGTGTCTGCTGACTTGCAAAGCCCAGCCAGAAGGGTGTTCCCTCCCCCACTACGCTCATAACCCCAGGGCTACACCGTCACGGATTAGTGCAGCGTTCCTGGGTGAAGACCAGTAGATGAAGGCGAGCATGTGACCGCTCCATGCCCATGGGATGGGCAACACCTTGGGGAACAGGCTTTGAAACTGCTCCCCAAGCCAAGCCAGCCCCCCCCAGCCAGCGCCCAGCGTGCCAAGCGAGCCCCTGCGCAGAGGGATGCTGCGGCCGTACCTGAAACGCTCTGCTGTAGGCGGCTGCCAGCTGCCCCTGGTCGTACAGCATCTTCTCAAAGTGAGGGACGTGCCAGTGCTGGTCCGTGGAGTAGCGGTGAAACCCCTGCCAAGACCAAGAGGACACGTCTCCAGCCCATGCCTCCACCCCACGCCTCCTGGGCATGCAGGGGTTCATCCCGAGGGCTTTCCTCCTACCTGAGCGATGTGGTCATGGATGCCCCCGTGGGCCATCATCCTGAGGGTGTGCAGAGCCATCTGCAGCGCCCGGGCACCTTCTGGAGTTGTTCGGTGCAGGGCCCAGTACGTGAAGAGGAAATTCACATTCACTGAAATACAGGGAGAACGTGGGAGGCTGTGGGGTGGGCTCTGCCCCCCCAGCACTGCCTGCCCCACGGCAGGGCTGAGCAGCAAAGGCCAGACCGACCTGGGGTGGGGAACTTGGGGGATTCGGAGAAGCCGCCGTATTCCTCGTCGTAGGAGCTGGAGAGCTGCTGGAAACAGGTGGCCATCACCTCTTTGGCTGGCGGGGGGGACTCCTGGCCCCGCACACGGATCTCGGACCTGCGTAGCAATGCTTCCAGGATCTTCTGGCTGTTCTCCAACAGGGCATCCTTGTTCTCCTTCCACTGAGATGCAGAGTGAGAAAGTCAGTTCCGCCAGTTTTCGTCTCTCTCTTTCTGCTTCCTGCATTGCACCGGTCCAAAGTGCACCTGCAGCTCTCGGTCCCCCTCCCCAGATCAGTCCAAATCCACCTCCAACCAGGCCAAAGCTCTGACACGTTCTCTGGGTTCCTCGTGACCGTACCTCTGACCTCAGCCACCCACCAAGCCCAGACCAATGCCCCCGCTGCCCGTTGGGTTGAGCGCTGCCTGCTAAGCCACTGCTGCTCCGTACCTGCTCTGCGATTCGGAGCAGCACAGTCCGAAAGCCAACGCGATGAAGTCCATCTTCAGGAGGGAAGTACGTCCCCCCTGCAAAGGGCTTCAGGTCCGGAGTCAGCCAGACGCTCATCGGCCAGCCACCTCCACCGCTGGTTGCCTGAAAGGCAAAGCATGGGCGCACCAACGTCACGCAAGAGGCCCTCTGCTCCGTCCTCCTCCGGCACATCCAGGTGCCTCACCTGAGGACAGACCAGTGCTTCTCTCCATCCCTGTGATCATGCACGGCCCCATTCAGACCACCCCACACACTGGTTCTTCTCGCCTGAGGAACATGACCACGAACCTCCTGAGCCCTGCCCGCACCTCCCTCACCTGCACGAAGGTCATGTACACTTTGTCCACATCTGGCCGCTCCTCACGATCCACTTTGATGCACACAAAGTTCTTGTTCATGATGTCCCCGATCTCCTTGTTCTTGAAGGACTCCTCCTCCATCACATGGCACCAGTGGCAGGTGGAGTAGCCAACTGAAAGCAAGCTCAGGCGGGTGAGGAAAGGCCCTCTGCAGGGAGCAGGACACATGCTATGGGGAGATGGCTCAGAGGTGGGGAACCCTGCTATGGAGAACAGCTGCTGCCCCCCTGGAGAAGAGACAGAGGAGACGGAGGCTTGCAAGGCCTCCTGGGCTCTCCAGCTCTTCCTCCAAGCACTCCAGCAGCCAGGAAGACCCCTGGATGACCTGGATAGGCTGGAAAGCTGGGCAGAGAGGAACCTGATGAGGTTCAACAAAGCCAAATGCA